TTTATACCAGTCCAACACGACTTCTGAGAAACTGAAACTTCAGGAGCTATAAATGCAAGTTTTTGTGAACACTGGTCATGGTTGTCTGCACTGATATCAGATTTCAAGTTTCCCACATTTATTCCTGACATAGGTTTTCTGCTTTCAGACATGAAATGTGTTCACTGGTAATGAAATTCTGTCTAATTGTCATGTACTTACGACAACCATCCTCATCTGAATGGTCCCCACAGTCATTTTCTCTATCACACTGCCAATGAGCAGGAATGCACTTTTCATTTGTACAGTTAAACTGTCCTGTTCCACATTGATATGGGCTTGAAGGATTAGATATCCCTGTGAAAGAAAATGGCACAACAAATAAGCATGGATATTACTCATGATATTAGCATATCAATTGCAGACGAGGTGGCTTGGGAACAATTGTCTTTAGCCGCTCTTTCGTTTCAATTTGAACAATTGTACTGGACACAAGCCAATTAGGGTTAAGTGTTTTGTTTTGTCTTAGCCAATAAAATCTAGAGGACCACGTGGCAGTAATAATGTTTGTAAACTTTGACCGACAGGGAAGAATTCTTTTCAGCTGTTGATCTTAATTCAAATCTGTGGTTGACCCTTCCCCATAATGGATGGCTTTTAAAACACAAAGCCTATTATCTGTTAAATATTTCTTTCTAAATTTTGTTAAATATGTCTGGTTCTCAGGAAATTTCGAGAACGACCAAACATTCCAAACATGTCTGTGTCAGTGAATCAATGAAAACTCTGCAGGTACCAGTACTACAAAAAAAATCGAAATTGCAAATTAGACTTTGAACCCGCCTTGGCAGGAATTTTCGGTTGATCTATGGCTGATGAAATAAATCCCACGCGCTCGCCATGCGACAGAGAAGCTGACTTAATCACCAGCAGTCTGTTGATGTCTGACGGCGATTAAGTAGGGTAAAAATGTAATCACGTGAAAGTAACTCTTTCCTTTCGGTGCCGCGTGAAGCAATACTGGAACAAAGCGAATATCGATCTCTGTAGTATCGAAACTCACACGAAGCAACTCGTATGCTCCTTCGCGCTAATATCCCAAACAATGATCCATATTGCGGAAAATAACAACGCGGTTAAATTAGTCACATGACTGATAAACTATTTCAGCAATTTCAAAGAGATTGCTGCCAAACCACAAGGAACCTCAAGTAGAAGTAACACATATTTGAAAATGGCGCTAACAATTTTACACTATCTCTTTCATTTCCTCACTTCAATTGTGAACTCTGTACAACAAACCTATTGAAGACGAAGAGCATCGACGGAAAGAGTTTTAAATATTTCAGCCTGCAAGAAACACAACTTAAGCCTTCCGAAAACATAATGTATTGACCTCCTACGAAAAGAATGATGGAATACACTTATGAATAGAAATAGCGTGCGTAGATGCTATCGCCCACGTAGTAAAAGTTTGCATTGTTAGCATTGTTGATAGTAAGACTTTCGTCACCAACAACTACGAACTGACGGAGGTTCTAGACTGACCAAAATTAGAAATAATCTTATTTCGATTTAAGTAGAAATTTAAGTACAACAAAAAGAGAAAATACAATCAAAACAACAAAGTATCCAATAGGGTCTGATTTATAAAATAGTAAATATGGACTTGAAGCTTTCGTAAGTCAAAGCGTGCAATATTTACGCATCACTGAAAAACCGCCAAATTGAAAGCCATGAATTTATCATAGTTGTACTTTGATTCATGAAATGGGGAACACGTTCCGAAGAGGAAAACTTAGATTTGAAAACAAAATTCGGAAGGTACCTAGTAGGTGAACATAGCAATAGCAAGACAAGTAAAAACGAGAGAAAAAGAAGGGGCTGTCGTTATCAGTTGAGAAGAAAATACGCCATAGCGCGACGTCAAGCGAGAAAATACTACAAAGATCCAAATTTAGAGAAGAATAACTTCATTTTTCATGAAAGTCATCTTACAACTTAACAATTTAGTTTTGTAAATTGATTTCACTGCACGTGGTTTCAATGCCTTCAATTTCAACTCACCAGTGTGAACCGTAGTCAAGATATAAACAAAACAGACTGCCACATGGATAACTCCGGTCCGCACACTCATCCTTGCGAGAACGACTTC